GCAATGCCACCATAATAAGGGATTGCATTGTACTTCGATAATGTCCTTGGAGATAAAATAAGCCTTTGATATCTTGTATAATGGCACATTTATCCTCTTTAATCAAACATAAAAGTGTTTTGTTCAGTTCAAATAATTCTTAGAATCTATTTATGACTGCCTGGAACAAGATCTAATTCTTTGTGTAAGCAGTTGCTTCATCCATCAATATAGGATCACCCCATTTATTAATTATACATGGAGCGTGGTCCTTTTGTTGTGTTGTGATACATGATTTTTGACCATGAGGGAACAGAGTATTCTTAGTGAGCACCCTAACATTGATCTCTGAGGTAGATAGTTTTTTCATTTATGTGTATTCTCCTCCTTTGTTAATTTATTTGCTTTAATCCATCAATACCTTGATTACAGGAAAATGTAGTTTCAATATTTTTTTTACAATCCTTTTTTATGAGTATTACAGGATTTCCAGTTTAAATTCAGTCACTGTCCTGGCTTAGAGTTCAGTTTGTTTAGGTGATGCAGGCGTCTCCTGCGGGTTGCTGAATTATTTTGTACATATTTTTTTATTTCACTTTTATTACTTTCGCACAATCTTGGTAGCAGAGGGTCCGGGCCTTGGGGAGGGACTTTAAAAAAAAATAAAACTGTAGTAAATTGTTTGACAAAAACCGGAGCAAATGCAATACAACACGTTTTGCACCACAATCACTACAATAAACTCTCATGGAGTGTGAAGTGGAGTAACAGGATTTAAGAAATACACAACGTTCATTGTTTTGCCGTATTGTTAATTCCAGTGAAGACAGAATAATGTTTGTGGTAAGTGTGTTTATGGAAGCCACTCTTAAATCTCATGAATCTCTCCAGTAAATTTAAAGTGGATCTGTCACTGTTTTTCATTTTCCTTTCCTTAAGTTTCCACTATTTTACTGAGTTAACCCTCTCCTGTGTCACATCCCTTTATTTATATTTATAATCTTTATTTCCTTGTGTTGGATCACACCATCTGCCATTTTGTTCTCCTCTGCCTTTGAAGTCTGTTCTCTGCCTTTTCATGGGATGATTTGAATGAAAACATCTTTGAGTTGGATGCTGCATAGGAAACAGGTGGTTCAGTTAAACATGCCGCATTAATAATTTCAAGTGACAGACGTGTGAAAATGTGAGTGGTAACTGAAACAGACCCTTGCTTTAAGCTCCGTCCATTGTCATGTTTTGTCAACTGACTGCTATACATAAGGATAAGTAGTCCTTGTATTTCTTTATGTGTTTTGTGAAAACTAGAGATTTCAGGGAACTATATAAAAAAAGTTAGATTAAGTGTATTTTTGGTGGCAGCTATGCTAAACTTTTGTAATAGTGTAACTAGCTCTATGACTTTCATTCTTCTCTTAACTTCCTCCGCTTGGCTCTCTCCGCTCCCTCATCCTGATTGTCAGGGGTTGTGATTGGTGGTCTTCTCAGCTCTCTCCAACCTGGTCACACCAATACTGTTTTGGAGGATGGTACTTGTGACGCAGAGGCGGCTCTAGACTTTATGAGGCCTTAGGCGAACTTCAAGCATGAGGCCCCACTTACACCCAAAAGTATAAAATAATAGGGTTGTATTTTGTATAAGTGTAAGGAGCATTTGCTATATCGAGAGGCGTGCTTGCAGCACTGGATACAGAGAGTCAGTCTCTGCATTCATTGTTCAGAAGCTTGCAATGTCAGAGCTTCCTGTGCCCCTGCATTGTGAGCTCTCTGGCTATAGTTGTAGCACATTTTGCAAACAAAATTAATTTGCAATAAATAAATTTAATTTGCAATTATGCCAATCGCTTATACACAATTGTGGGGTATGGTCACATAGCCCGGCAGTCGTGTATAAATAAGTACTGGTGTGAAGGGGTTCTCGAAAACAAAAATGAAAATTTAAGATTTAAGTGACGGTAAGTGTGGCATAGTTGGGGTGGGGTGAGTATTACAGTTTTGGAGTGAAGGGTGAATGTGGCATGGTTTGAGGAAGGAGTGTGCCAGGATTAAGGGGGTTAATGAGTGTGGCAAAGAGAGGGCAGGTGAGTTTGGAGGGGGTGAGATTAACAGGACTAGGAGTGGTTAGTGAGAGTGTGGATGCATGAAAGGGCTGAAAGTGTGGAGGGGGTGACAGTGTGGTGTCGGGTGACAATGTGTGGGAATGTGACAGTGTATGAGTATGGTGACACCACATTGTAGGGGTGACAGTGTGTATAAGGGAGAGTGACTGTGTGTGAAGGGGATGATACTGTGTGTGTGAGGTGGTGACAGTTTGTGTGTGTGTGGAAGGGGTGATCTGGTGAGGGAGGGGGTGATAGTGTGTGGGATATAGGGGCGATAGTGTGTGGGAGGGGGTAATACTGAGAGGGAGGTGACATACTGTGAGGGAGGTGGGTGATACTGTGAGGGAGCGGGGTCATGGTGTGTAGGAGGGGGGAATACTGTGCAGGGGCAGATCCAGAGCCTGATCTCAGGAGGGGCACTTGTAGATTATTTAAAGAAATAATCCAGGCACAATAACCACTACAGCTCAGTGTAGTAGTTATGGTGCTAGTAGTGCCAGGATCCCATCTCAGAGTAAGTAGTCAAACCGTTTAAGAACAGTTTGACAACTTACCTGGGGTCTGCTGGGATATAGGGTATAGGAGCAGTGGTATGTGTTAGGGGTGAAGTGTGTGTGAAAGGTGCAGTGTGTGTGTGTGTGAGCGGTGAAATGTGTGTGCGAGTGCGTTAGGCGGCAGTTTATGTCAGGGTTCCAGTGTGTGTGTTAAGGGGAAGTGTATGTGTGGGGCAGTGTGTGAGCGGGGCAGTGTGTGTGTGAGAGTTGCAGAGTGTGTATGGGGGGGAACTGTATGTGTGTTTGGAGGAGTGTGTATGGGGGGGCACTGTATGTGTGTGTGGGCAATGTGTGTATGGGGGGCAGTGTTTGTTGGGCAGTGTGTGTATGGGGCAGTGTGTGTATGGGATGCAGGGCAGTGTGTTTAGTGTGTGTATGGGGGCAGTGTTTGTGGGCAGTGTGTGTAGTGTGTGTATGGGGGCAGTGTTTGTGGGGCAGTGTGTGTAGTGTGTGTATGATTTGGAGCGTTGCCGTGGTAGAGAGGCTGAGCTCCCGGGTCCTCTCTCCCTCTCAACCCTGCCGGCTGCCAGCACAGTGCCTGCGGACCGGGGAGGGATATCTCTTCCCGGTCCGTAGGCACATTGCAGGGCTGGCACTTGGACAATGCCAGCCCTACATTAACCGGCAGGGTGGAAACTCGGGGGGGGGGGCAATTGCCCCATTGTCCCCTCTCTGGATCCGCCACTGATACTGTGAGGGTGATAGTGTGAGGGAAGGGGGTAGCCGAGGGGGTAATACTGTGTGGGAGGAAGGATACTATGAGGGAGGGGTTAATACTGTAAGTGGGGAAATACTGGGAGGGAGGGGTGATAGTGTGAGGGGGGAATGCTGGGAGGGGGTGGGGTGATAGTGTGAGGTAGGGTGGTGATAGTGTAAGGGAGAGGGTAGTACTGAAAGGGATAAGGTAATACTGTGATGGGGAATACTGGGAGGGAGGGGGTTGATAGTGTGAGTGGGGAATACTGGTATGGACTTGGAAATACTGGGGAATATTGGGAGGGAGGGGGGATACTGGGAGAGAGGTGGGTGATAGTGTGAGTGAGGGTGTATACTGGGAGGGGGGTAGTGAAGGGAGATATTGGGAGGGAGGCGGTCATGGTGTAAGGGAGGGGGGATACTGGGAGAGAGGGGGCGGTAGTGTAAAGGAGGGGGTTTACTAGGAGGGGGTGATAAGGAAGGGGGTTACTGGGAGGGAGCGGGGTGTAGTGAGGGGGGATGCTGGGAGGGAGGGGGTATATTGGGAGAGAGGAGTGCTACTGGGAAGGATGGGGTATACTTGAAGAGCGTTATATTGAGGGGGTTACTGGGGGTATATTGAGGGGGGTTACTGGGAGGGAGGGTGATATTGAGGGGGTTACTGGGAGGAAGGGGGTATTCTGGGAGGGAGGGGGCATAGTGATGGGGGGTTACTGGGAGGGAGGGGGTATATTGAGGGGGGTTACTGGGAGGGAGGGGGTATATTGAGGGGGGTTACTGGGG